TCTATCAACCCTATCTCCGGAAGGCAATCAATTCCACAACAGATTTAACAGATTCATTTCATCTACAGTCGGGATACCTTCAAAGAACTTCAACTGTTAAATCCATGTTTTTTATATTTTATTTCAGCTTTTGAATGTTCATATTTCTTTCTCTTCTCTGTATTGTTTTATGCTATCTCTTGTAACCTTAACTTTTATTAATAAATTTGGGTAGTGTTCCCCGACACTCGATCCCACCACCATGCACATGTGGTTCACTCCGGGATATAAAAAATATATGTATGAATCAATCATGTGCATCATATAAGTTCAAATGATGTTTAAAATGGAGTGAAAGTCTAATATCAACCAAATTATCTCTAATTTTATAGTCCTCTTTATTAAATAATTAAGTGTATGTTTTACTCAATTTATGACATCAGAGTTTAACGTTGGCAAATAGCACAATTTATGAGAGTTTTACTCAATAACAATCTTTTTATTTTCTAAAATCGTGAAATAAGATGGATTAACCAATATCGCGCGGACATTGAAAAGGAGGTTTAGGCAGTGTTCTAAAAGGCTCCAAAAGGCGTCGCATAGGCACGCCTCTGCGCCAGGCGCGGACCAAACGCCTCGCATACACCAAAGGCGGGGTCAAAGGCTTCTTCAAGCCATTTAAGCCATGAATTAAAGCCTTGTAGGGCCAAAATAAGCCCAGCAAACTACCTAATTAAGGCTACTGTCATAGGCCCATGATAGGGCTTAGCTTTTAGTAGGTTTTTGTTTTAACACAAGAGTGATTTCAACTTATAGAGTCGGGAAGGACTAATTTCCCTCTTCACATCCGGTGTGGGAGAACGGAAGCAAGTATGATACGGAGTATTGCTTAAGTTGTCTTTTTCTCAGCTTTATTTAAATTTACATTACTCCGTATTATTGGGCTCACATGACAAAAATTATATTTAATCAATGATTATTTTTATTGTATTATCTCTATTATATATTAATTTTATGTTAGCATTATATTACGTAGTACTATTTTACTTTATACAATCATACTACGTATTAGGATGTTTTTATTTGGACTGTAATTTGTCTCAAACCAGAGCAGACTTGAATAGTTATAAAAGTACAAAGAAACCAGATCAGATCAGACCAGTAAATTACAGTCCAATTAAAAACATCCTTCATATAATATGCTTATTGTTGTTATTAGTATTGAAATAATTACATATACCCAACGATGCGTTAAGTATCATTTATCATTAAACTACTTTTGTGTAATTGGTAATTTATACTCTATATTGGTTAGATTTAGGACTTGACTAATCTTTTTTGTTGAAAATGAGAAAAGTGTGATGTTTTTAAATAACATAATTTAATACTAAATTTAAACATTTAAAACAATTCTACGAAAACTTAAATAAAGGATAAAAAATCAAAACGCATTTTCACGCCTAAACCCCGCCTAAGCCCGCCTAGGCTCCAAAGGCTTAAGGCTTGGACGTGTCGCCTCGGCACGCCTTACGCCTTTTAGAACATTGGGTTTAGGCCGTTTAGCCGTATTTCTTAACATAACGAAAGTTTATAACCAATTCAAAAAGGGAAAGTTCCCGAAATGGGACTAAAAAAGTTTGAAAATTCCAAAATAGGACTGTCAAGTTTTTATTCCCAAAATAGGACGAATTACTGCCAAATTTGGAAAATACTGCCATGTTTGAAGTCTGGTACTGTCAAAACATGACAGTAATTAGTCCTATTTTGGGAATAAAAATATGGAAGTCCCATTTTGGAATTTCCAAACTCTTTTAGTCCCATTTTGGGTAATATCTCATTCAAAAACTGTGACAAAAGTTACTGAGTGAGGACCTCCTGTCTCTAAAATTCAACACAAGGGTAGTCAATAGAGTTACCATTATACCTTCAAAAAAATAGAGTTACTATTGTAGTCTTAACTCTTAAGTATAAAATATCAAATTCTTCTTCCTTAGTCATATGTATGTCATCAACTCTAAAGGAACTAGTTCACAATACAAAATACTTCGTACTATATATAGTTTTTGAAAGTTACTACTCCGTATAGTATTTCCTTAGAGAATGAGTTCGGTAAATTAAAATCTACTTTCATTATATACGTAATTAAAATGTCATTCTAATAACATTTAATGTTAAATCTATGAATAGTCTTTTAGTAAAAAATTGGGTATTGGTGTTTAATTTCCACAGTTAACCAAGTACAAGTACACACTTTCGGACGCTTGAATCATGCATGACTGCATGAGAGCATGAGCCAAAGTAGATAAGGACATATGCAAGGCCAAACTTTGATGAAAGTAGCTGCTCTATATGCGAAAGAAAAGAAAAAAAATTGCTGGCAGCATGTCATTCCAATACGTCTAGCTTAGATTTCATTTCATGTTTTTTATGATCACAACATCCCAAAATATAAGGGCCTTTGGAAAAATCAAAGCTCATTATAGTTCAATAATTTAATCAATTCAGGCACATTGATCAGATCAGGGGTGGACATATCTGTCACATCTGTCATACTCCCTCGTTTCACAATCAAATTCACAATTTGACTTCTCAAAAATTAAGGAAATAAATTGAATACACTGTTTTGACATTGTTTAACACTATTTGACATTATTTCGTACTATTTTGATGTAGATTACTTTGCCAAATAATGGAATAAGGGAAGTGTGTTAAGACTTGGAGTTTCATCCTAAAAGGTCAACCTGATCTGATAGGAGGAGTAGCCCATGTCTTAATATAACACTTTGTTTATCCAAACTTTTCCGGTGTGGGACATTTAACATCCCTCCTCACGACCAGACACTTCGTCTGGATCGTGCAATCATTCATTTTTTTTATCGGTCCGTTTTTTTCTTCATCCGGTCGTTTTTATAATTGTGTCATCATTTTTCATAAGGGGCCCCACACAATGGATCGATTTGTCTCTGATAGCATGTTAAGACTTGGGGTTCCATCCTAAAAGGTCAACCTGATAGGAGGAGTAGCTCATGTCTTAATATAACACTTTGTTTATCCAAACTTTTCCGGTGTGGGACATTTAACAAAGTGTGACTTTGTTTTTTAAACATTCAAAAAAAGGAAAGTGTGACTTTGATTGTGAAACGGAGGGAGTATAATTTAATTTATACAAGAGCCGTTGGAATAATCAAATCTCAAAGTTATTATTGACTAATAGTACAATAATTTAAAGCCCGTTTGGTTTCACAAAAATCGGATGATTTGGCTGATTCTGCTGATTTAAGAAAAAATTATTTTTAAAATATATTTTAGGAAAAATTGACAAGAATAATCTCACCTTTCACTGGTCTTCTCATAATAATCCCACCTTTAAATAATCGCAAAATAATCTCACCTTTGCACCTCATCTTCTTTCATTGGACCTAGACCTTTAAAAAACATGGTCAGGGTCCAATGAAAGAAGATGAGGTGCAAAGGTGAGATTATTTTTGGATTATTTAAAGGTGGGATTATTATGAGAAGACCAGTGAAAGATGTGATTATTCTTGTCAATTTTTCCTATATTTTATTAATAAAATAATGAAAAAATTATACTCCCTCCGTCCCAAAAAGGTTGACCAAAGTTGACTTTCACGTGGATTAATAAAGTGAAAATTGTGTGGTTGAAATTTGTGCAAAGTAGAGAGAATAAACTTTAACCACATATTCTTTACTTTAAATAGAAATGACAAGTCTTTTTGAGACATCCAAAAAAGGAAATTTGGCCAACCTTTTCGGTACAGAGTAAAGTATAGTTAAAATGATCATCTACAGTAACTTCGGCCAATACAACCAGAAAAGTAACTTCAACCTCACTTTTTCTTCTTATTACACATTTCAACTCGCGAAAGCAAAAATTACATGTTTAGTGAAAAAGTTGGTTGAAAAACCTGATAAACTAACTGAAAAATAGTGTTGTCAAACGGCTTTAATCTATTTAGGCACATTATATTGATGAGAGCTCTTCTCATCAGGCCGGCCTGACGGGTGCCCCGTCCGGCCGAGCCCGTTTGGGCACCTTCCCGGTGCAATTTTTTGATGAAATTTTTTGAGCATGTTCCTCATCAAGTCTAGTTTCTCCATACCAAATTTCAGCTCAAAATTCGATCGGGAAGGTCGTCAAATGATTTTTGCAAGTTAACTGGTCCGGAAACTAGACTTGCAAAAATCATTTGACGACCTTCCCGATCGAATTTTGAGCTGAAATTTGGTATGGAGAAACTAGACTTGATGAGGAACATGCTCAAAAAATTTCATCAAAAAATTGCACCGGGAAGGTGCCCAAACGGGCTCGGCCGGACGGGGCAGCCCGTCAGGCCGGCCTGATGAGATGATTTCTCTTATATTGATTAGATTAGGAATTGACATAATGACATATCTGTCATTCACTCATTCCGGTTTCAGTTCAATAAGGGTATGGTGGACTACTTCATGCATGGTGACCAGAACATTTATTTATATTTATGTACTTATTTGTTTCATTTTAAAGTAAATGTGCTAATTCCGTTTAATAAACAATTTTTAATCATTATGCCAATCTTCGTTAAAAAAAACTCATTATGCCAATCTGAAACCAGTACATTTCCTTTTTTGAAACGTGTCCAGTTTCCCGTCATTGAGCAATGTCAGAAAATGTACAATACGTTTCAAGTGGGCCGGGCTGAATAAGAAATTTGCGTTAAGGGGATGTTGATAGTTTTGTGGGTTTTGTACATTTTTTGTACACTTGTCTGTTCCAGGAGACAAGTTGTCTGTCACAGACAATTCATATATAAGTTGCTTGAGACAGACAATTACACAAAAAAGGAGTACGCATATTGTGTACCCAAACATTTTTGTAGTTTTGTTGTTATTCAATTCTTTGCTTACTATTTCGATTATTAATAATCATTCTGTAGAATACGATCTAGCTACTTCGTGTAAGATTAAGGAATTGGGATCATTTTTATGCGCCGCATATTCTTTTTCTTTTTGTTTCCTTCGTCATAATTCTCCACGGACTAGTTCGGATGTTCTTCTTTTTAAGTGATTTCAATATCAAATTGGATTGAGGTGGGCGTTGAGTTTTTGGTGTACACCTTTGACATCTTTGTCCCTAGATAGACAAATGTGTCAAATATATTAGATATGTATGCCAATCATTTTTCTACTAGATTAGACTCACGCAAACAAGCTAGACCTGACTAGACATAAACATACTTAAATGAATCTCATCCGATGAGACTTTGCCAGTTCTATAATATGTATATCCAAAACCTACTAAATCAGAACAAACTTAAACAAATTTCACTAAATCAAATTAAATCGGAGCAGATCATGAAATTATAGTAAAATTACACTAGGATATAATACTAGCAATTCAAGCTTCGTGATGTAAAGTTGAAACAAAACTCAACACTTTATTTTAATGCAAAGTTGCACTTATTTACGTACTTAGGGCAGCACACTGCCCTACTGCCTTACAGGGATTGCTTATTCTATTATTAAGCTTCAGCCCAATCCTAGCTTGATGGACTTAATTAGCCATCCCGAGACTGTTTAATTTATTTAAGTTCACACACACATACTCCAGTATTTATTTAAGCTTACACACACACAATTAATTAAGCACCATAACTAAATTCTTTGCCCGGAGTGCAATGAGTTTTATCTGGCTTCGATGGCTCTGGACAGTTTTCATATACTTCATTGCTGTCGAGGCAAAACTCGAGTTGGAAAAAATAATATTTTCCATCACTTCCATCTTTGCAGAAAACTGTGGGTGTCCTTCCGGGGAAAGCCTTTTTCACACCCTCAACATTTGTTGGATTTCCTGCATGTATTTAGTTGCGAATTAATAATGCTTAAGAGTGTTCTAAAAGGCGCGACATATGACAAGGCGTCTAGGGCAAAGCCTAAACGGGAATAGACAAAGCCTAAGCGTGAAAAGGCGTGTTAAATTTCTATTGATAATCAGTACGCAGTATTTAAGTTGTTGTTGTTTATTTGTATATTACCTGCTTGTTGAAGAAGCTGTAAAACGTTGCTTGCATCATATAAATTGAGAGATTGCCTAAAATAACCTTCCACACTATACAAGGCACACTTCTTGCCATGAGCCACCCATTCATGATCCCAAAAAGTTCCGTACTTACTTGGATTCCCAAAATTTTTCAAGTCTGGCCAGTTTTGATCAAGACGATCGCGAAGATCTTTCACCAGATCGACACTGAACTTCTCGGTGGAGTCGGTGCACTTAGCTCTATAGATAGGCCATAAGCCGTGAATTGTGAAATGGTCAGGCAAGTTGGTTGTTTTTTCACATCCAGAACCTTTAGTCTTGCAATAGCCTTTGGGCCATGTGAATGAAAGCTTGAAAGTCAACTTAGTGGGATCAATATCTTTGTTCCAATCTAGTTGATATGATTCAAGTGGGTGAAGGAGGGATTGAGTGTTGAGTGTAGTGTTTTCATCCTCACTAGCTATAGCATTGGTGACAGAAAGAAGAAAAATGAGCATGAAGGTAGTGACATAGCTAAGATTCACAGCCATGTTGAACTTTGAGAATCTTTGGTAATAGCTAGTTTGGATGGGAATATGATGCTCAGCTTGTTGAATAGATGCACATATATATAGGGAGTGATCGATCGAGCTAGAATTAGTTGGCAAACTAAGGAGTGAAACTTGCTCACTACTAGCAAGTACAATAATATCACAATAATATCTATCCCATTTTAATATGGCTTTATCAACATGTGATTTAAATACACTTGTCTTATTCAGAATTTAATATGATCAAAACTATCAATAAATTTCATACTCAAAATTAAAGAAATTCATACTCTATTGACAAAATTTTAAAACCAGTACCCTAACTTTTGCACATGTCCATTTTTAGTCCAATTATAGTTCACTCACTTGCAGATTGACCTAGTCCTCCTTTAATAAATAAATAAATTTATTATTCATAGAGAGTTTTAATTTCTTTGAGTTACATGACTAATAATGGACATCAAAAGTTATGAAATTAAAATAATAAATTGATTCCCCATTCGAAAATTTGTTAAAATAGGTACAAAATTAACGGATTTGACTTTCAGTCCATAACTTGCCAAACTCATTTAAGTTGTTAGAATAGCTATGAACCTTTTTTATAGACTATGATCCACACACACACATATATTGCAAGTTCTCTTACCCTCTCAGATATATAAAGAAGTTATATGATTAAATCAAGACTTATTGGATTAATTAATACTTCATTTATTCATTAGTCCCACAAATTTATTGTTTTCTTTAATTTGCCTTTAAAGAAACTCAAACTTTAAACGAAATTTTGATACCTTCAAACTTTAAACGAAAAACCCCATGATTTGCACACAATTGGATAAATGTGACAGAAGAAAATGCACTAAACAGGACTAAAATGTGATTAAGATTCCTAAGTAGGAGTTTATATATTGTATTCCCTAAATAAGACAAAACATTACCGTTCTACCGGGAACGGTGGCGGCAGTCCGGTAACCAAACTTCAATCCCTAGGAGGGTGTTTTTGTCCCATCATCACAAATTATGACTTCTGTTTAGGGGATTTTAAACATTGATTCCTCTCTTTACACTTTTAAGTATTACGTACATTTTACTACTATTATTTTGGAAATTCGTTAAAAATCTTTGGTCTTGTTTGGCATTTTGCGGTTAACAAGTCCAGAGAGCGAGTAGTTAATAGCATATCCGATTTGCCGATTTGACTAGCAGATTGAATTGGCAGGTTAGAAAATGAGTAAGTGAATTAGTTTTCCCTTAACCCCCGTTAACATGTAAAAGTAATTAATTGTTACTAATTTCTTATAAAATGCTGGACCAAAATGCCCTTGGAGGGTTTTATTACATGCTTTCTCCCTGAAATGGTACGCCGTGTAAGGATGTTTTAACTTCGACTATTTTCAGTCCCAAATCAGATCAGACTAGTTCAGACAAGTCCAAATCAGTCTAGACAAAAAAAAAAAAATCAGTTCAACTGAGAACATTCTAAGTGTTAACTAAACACACAAAATGGACGGAGAACTTTTCTTGCAGGATTATATTTGTTAAACTATAACGTAGAGTGAACAACTTGCCAACAATTATACATAGGGGATATGTAACCTTAAATTTGATAAAAACAAAAGTAGCCCTGCATGTGAAGAAAGAAGAACGGCTCCATATCTTTTTGGAAAATGATGTTTGTATCCACTTTTATACCCACTTTTGTACCCACCCATGTTTGTGAAGTTATTTTTTTTTGTCTATGAATTCCTTCACAGACAAAATATGTCTGTGAAGGAATTCAAAGACATATTTTGTCTGTGAACTGGCTTCACAGACAAAAAATAGCCTTCACAGAGGTGGATATAAGATGGGTACAAAGTGGTGGGTACAACAAGCATGGTTGTATCTTTTTTGTGCCAACCGAGCTGGATTTGTACATTATTTTAAGGTTGTGTAGTAAAAAACTGAGAATGCTCCAATTGACTGTCTATTTTATAAAAGAGTGAAATGTTAAATGTATATGGGAGTAGAACTCATGACATGACAGAAAAAAACTCATGACATCACAATTGGCCATAGGGGTTGCCAAACCAACCCTAAATATGCACTCTTAAATCGGATGCCAAGAATGGATTAACTAGTATCACTAATTGAAAGAGAGCTTTTCCATACATATTACTTATAATAAAATTTATATATAAAAACTAGGGCTGAGCACGGATCTTGAAATTCTCGTTACGTATCGAAGAACCGCCCCGTACCGTTCCAGAACCGAAAGAATCGGAAAAATGTAATACCGTGCCGTACCGTACCGTACCGAGCTTTTTTAATAATATGGTTAGGTACTGGTTCTTAGTGAGAACCGGCCCGGAACCGTCCCGAAACCGTATTGAACCGAACCGTCTCGTACCGTCCCGAATTGTCCCGAAAACTAGTGTTATAATATAATACAGAGTAATATATTATACGGAGTATATAATATATTACCAAGTATAAATGGTAGTGACCGTATGTCCCGAAAATTAGTGTTATAATATAATAATAATAATAATAATATATTATATATAATATATTACAGAGCATAAATGTTAGTGAGCATATGTCCATATATTACAAATATGCAATCTTGCAAATTCTTTGGGCGTAATCTAAAAGTTAGCTTTAAAACAAAAACAACACTACGGAGTAAATGATATAAACAATGCTACGTAAATAGGGTTAATTATATTTTATGGGGTTAATTATTTCGGAACCAAATAACACCGGAGAACCGTACCGAACCGTACTAAAAATTGGTACGGGACAGGACATGCCTAAAAACATTATAATCGCGAATGTAGGTTAATATCCTTGATTTGTGTCAATGCTTTTTATGCATATAAACTTGTATGTTATTATTAAAATGGAGTACTGACTTTTCTAAAAGACTGTATTAACCTTACACCGTTAAAGTATTAACTTTGTTAAGTCGGTGCCTTCATGACTACTTCCATGAGTTTTAAATATAATCGGTCATGACTCATGATGAATAAATTAAGTTCAAATATAATTCAGTAGTGGCATATTAAATTTGAGTAGAATAAATAGTGTCATACTTTTATTCTCTTTTTTTATAGTAATAAGTACTCTCACTTAAAAATACTCGTTAAATTGATTTTTTTAATAATGTTTCCTTCCCCTATTTTCATTTAAATTTGGCGGAAATTGTGAAAACATTAAAAGTTACATGTTTGCTAAAAAACGATTGATAAGGTTCATACGACGAAACACATGATCTCTTTCACACCCCCACACATGGGTCTCATTTTTTATCTCACAATCTTTATGTGTAAGACCCACATATTTTCTAATTTTTATTCATTTTCATTTTTATATCACTTTTAACTCTCTTTTCATCTACTTTTCCTTCTTAAATCTTGTGTAAGGTTCATTGGTTGACCTTGTCATAGATTTCTTGGACTACATTTTATCTTCATCTCTCTCTTCTTTTTCATATTTCCCTACACACTTCATGTATGTTAAATAAAAATGTTCATTTTATCTCTATTTGTCTCATATGCCACATCACTACAATTCACCCCCATTGGAGAAGCCCTTATGGATGTATAATTAAGTTGAAGTAACTCAATTTAATTCAAGAATCAAAAGGCAATCAACCCATATATTGTGTTCGAGCCTTAAAACATATTGTCATTTACAACTATTTCACTCTCTCATTTTAGTTTAAAGTAACAACTATGCGACTAAAATTATTTATCTCTTTATTGTACAAATTTCACTCACAAACTTAATACTTTATTATTCTATGTGAAAGTCAAACTTAACTAAGTTTTATGGGATGGAAGGTATGTTAAAACAAAAAACACACCTGAATCGCATAATCACATACTTTACAGTCCTAATCACGTACTTTAAGACGGGAAAAGTTTTTTGAAATAACCGCCCCGTCCCATGCTCACCCCTAATAAAAACTATGATAAAAACTGCTCTGGCCACTGAGAGTTAATTACGCTAAATCTTTGACTACATTTACAATGCCATAGCTAAATTAGTTACAGAACTCCGTACTAAAAATAGCTTGTCAAATACTCCGTAAATAAATGTTTATGGTGTATTTATCAATCATGCTTCCTATTCACGTTTTTTGTACACGCTATTTTACACGTCGATAGATTGTCCGTGCCATGGGCGGAGCTAGGGGTGGGCCAACCTAGGCCATGGTCCACCCCAAATTTTAAAAATGGCTTAATTTTTAAGATAAAAACTTTCGCGTAAATTTTTTTCTAAAAAAATTCTTTGTACCGCCCTAGTACCCTAGCTCCGCCCCTGACTCCGTGCATAAACAACTTTTTGTAATTTGTGAAAAAAGATTATTTTCCACATTGACGTTTTCTTTTGTCTGTTGCACAAACAAAAAATGTCGGTGTGAAAAAAATTTCTTTCACAAAGTGAAAAGAAATTATTTGTGTATAGTACAAAACTACAAACAATTTCTCTAATTTAATTAATTTCTTGGCTCAATTTTTTGTTTTACCTCAAATTTGTATGACGATTTCGTTTTGTCAAACGTCACATTGATGTACTAGCTTAGGTTACTACAGTGTGTGTTTCAATAATTGACTTTAAACTTATCCTTGTAGTGAAGGGGTCCCGATATCAATATCACCTATAGGGATCCGGCGTCTCTGCCTTGGTTAAGCAGCCAAGGAGGGTGCCTGGCTGTTTTCATCCATCAGATCAAAAAATGAAGGGTTGAAGATGAAAGACTCCATTTTTTGCACGAATCTCGAGGCCTACTTTTCGATCTGTGCCGTCCATTTGAGTAAGGCACCTCTGCCTTAAGGCAGAGGATCCCAATCCCACCTATAGGGCCATGCAATAATAAACATTTCGTAGATATATTTATTTGGGGTTGGTGGTATGACTTAAGGAGTGTTTGCGGTTGATTAAAAAAAGCACTTTTCAGCTTTTGGCTTAAAAAAGTTAAAAGGAGTGTTTTCAAATTACAGCTTCTGCTTAAATTAAGCACTTAAAAGCTCAAAGTTGGAAGCAAGTGGAAGGATGCTTTAAACTGCTTTTCACTTTTTCTATTACACAAAAAGTACTTATTTTACCAAACACTACAAACCTTTACTTTTTCAGAATCACTTTTTCCTCAAAC